CATCATTGGAAATTGTTACAAAAATTCCACTTTTTCTGAAAATGACAGCACACCGGGTGCCATGATTTCACAGGATGCTTGAGACTATTATTGACTTACAGACAAGTAAGGTATTTCATAATAATTTGGTAGTTTTGTTTTTTGAATTTTGCAAATATTGTGAATTACCTTTAAATCCATACTGGAGTTTGTTGTGCTTATTATTAAAAGGATGTCTAAACGTAAACCAGACAGACCGAGTGCGACTGTTGTAAGGAAATGACTTTGATCCCATAAACCATCCACCGTAAACTTCCTAACAGTTCCCGGTATGAACATATGAACATGTATCAGAGAATTAGGAAATAAACAATTACGTTATTGAACCAAACAAACGATCACCGTAGAAAAAAATTTCAAAAGTGTAGTACAAAAAAATACCTGCACAAACAAGAATTTATCATGCAATGGCTGTTCTATCTGTTGTGAATTAATCTGTGTGCCCTGAAGTATTATAAAGAAAGACCTCTGCCAGAAACTGCTGTTTGCCAAATGAGTTATCTTATGCCACCCCTACCAATAAATGGAACTGCCCTCCGCTGACTGACCTTGGGGTAATTCAACATAGGAACACATACTGCTATATAACACCATGTCTATACCCCTGGTTTAAAATCAGTATCACCGTGTCCACCTTGTTTCAAGAAACTTGCTTTTGAAATGTATAGTTCTAAGTTACAAACAAAATCTTTTACAATAATTTTATTTTAACAAGTTATTTTAAAGTGTTAAATAACTTGTTAAAGTGCACGCATTTGTGAAATTTGGTTGAATTTTTCACTTATTGTTTTTATCTATAGTCAAACAGTTCTTAAAAGCAAAATGTGCTAATTTGCAATGGGGTAATATTTTACGGAAATTATTTCATGAAATGAGTTAGAATTATAAATGTTTTGTAGTGTTAATTAATAAAATATCAGTTATCTGTTACACGTGTACAGCACTTTTTATTTTGCAAATATTCTGTACTCAGAAACATGTATGCTGACATTCATGTCCATACAACATGCATCACAGTATTTTACCTGAATACCGGTACCTTAGAAGGTGTTAAAAAAAAGTTTGTGTCAGGAAAAAAACTTCCGGCAACACAAAAAGGCATAATGCAATGCAGCTATAAGTATAATGTAAATAACGAACATTGTTTACACAATGAAAACAATCAACGTTATGAATCCTTGTACCTACATGTACCACAATGAAATACATCGTGCATGTTTATGTATGACCCTGACAATTTACAAATCTCCAAACAGGAAGCAGATCTGGCATTGTGAAAGTTATTAGTCATATTTATTGCCCAAAATATAAATAAAAACCCCACTGCTTTATATTACCAAAACAATGAACTTTACAAGTCGTTTGGTTTTTAATACCGCACAGCGCAGTATGCACCCATTTATTATTTTTTATGACTGAATGGGACTTTAGGTCAATTATTTCTTTGATGAATATTACATAGAAAATATCAGGAGAGTCCAACCAGAGATAAGGGCTTTCCAGTTGAGCAACACACCACACAGGAAGTCATGCACAGTGATTGCATACCAACGCATGCAACACATGGGTAGTATTTCATCTACTTAGCTATTCGTCCACTCCCCAAAGGCAGACTATGATCGATATGAATATTCATGAGGAAGCATTAAATCTTGGATAGCTTCCAGGGACATTAGATTGGCTTGGGCCAATTTTTTTTTTCTCTTGTGTGTACACAACCAAACTCAATGCATAATCCTTGGTCTTTCATCAATAGGCCTACCTACCTGATACGGGCAATGGTGGGTCTATTATAATAATACCACAGAAGAGATAAAGCCATTTAACTGCTTAAAAGTTAAACTGCTTGCTGTGGACTGTTTTATCTGTACATTTGTTAAGTTTTGTTTAACCTTTTATTATCTTTTTTTCTATAAATTTGTCTTAAACTTTTGACTTTCTTTAAGTTAATAGCTTGTGTAACTGTAAGCATTAAATATATTTTTAAGAAACAGCCATGTTGAAATAACCTTTGAATTCATAAAAACTACAAGTGAAATATCCTATTGGAAAAGTCCTATCAAGGATTTAATTAGATAGGCGGGCTGATTGTTATCCAATGAAACATCTATTCATTTGCACACCAGTTTTCATTGGTTCCTACATGTGTTACCATTCATCACTCCAGACTCAAGAACCATTTTGTTTCAAGAACATATGACATGTAGGTCTGGGAGCTACATTTATTTAAGCCAACGAAAAAAAATCTTGGATGTCCGTGCTCACATTTGTCCAGTTGAAAAACCCACATTACAGACCTTTTTGCACATGTACAGGTAATCTAAAAAAAAAATAATAATATTTGGAGGGAAAAAAAAAGGCTGTCATTACACAGCCATAAACAATTTTTGCTTTTAAAAGTGACTAAAATTTTCACATCAGCCATATAGGTAATTGATAGTAACATTTTCAATACCCCAAGCCCGAGTAGAATTTGTTCAATCAACATACATGTAGTGAGTGATTTTGTTATGGCCATTTACTGAGTTTTCCAAGTTTTTCCAACAACTTGAGCAAACTTCAGATTTGAAACATTTATTCATGTTCATGGTTTAAATTGGACAACAAGACAATTAACTGTAGCCCTACTATATAGAATGTTAAATAATTCCAATGACATAAAAAAGAAGTATGCCGAACAATCCAAGGGGGCTATGATTTCAGGAAGCACAAACTTCTGCATAATGACCCATCTTTCATTACCTTGAAAAAGGCAAGTGTGCCTTTCCAGTTGCCCACCTAATCCCCACTGGGCCCACACAAAAGAGCCCAGCTTGGTCAACTCTGCAAACAATGGGCCTTTCATTGCTTTGCATATCAATAAGCTTATTCAAGGTATTCCTCATCATTTTACACACTCAATTCCTGGCCTGTATACACAATTGTACTACGGATTTTCCATTACCCATAAATAAAACAATCTTTGGGAGTTTTTTGTTTAGTTTTGTTTTTTAAGTTTTTAGATTTGAAGGGGACACTGTACCTAACAATCCAGTAAAAAAAACACCTTAAGATTTTCTTAGAAGAGCAATATTTTTTATTAAAAAATTGTATTCTGGGAAAGAACTTTAACTATATAACCAACAGTGTATGTTAAATCGTTCAACTTGTACAATGCGTTTTAAAACAGTGCTAATTTGTTGTTTCCTCCAAATCTTTTATAACTGAAAAAAAACCCAACATATTTTTCAAATATCTGATTCTAATGAAAACTTTCAGCACTAAATTCAAGGAAATAAAACACGTTCAAGGCATCTTGCCAGTATTGTCATGTAATAATTATGGAATTGGAAAGTAAATTTTCAGTTAGTTTTACATCAGGACAAACATGTTCATTTGTGACAATTTCCTGGTAAATTTAAACCGACTTTCTTTTGGAAAATCAATTATTCACTCCACCTACATGTACGTGCCTAGCACTCATTGAGAGTTTGTGATATATTCAAAGACCCGGGCATTCTATTATAATAAGTTGCTGTATGGGTTACGTTTTTATTCACATGCTTGCACACACTGTGTAATCGGGATCTATAGTTGGCTGTTGAAGAAATAAATATTCAAGGCCATACAAATAAAAAGTTTTGTTACCCGCATTATACACTGTTATTGCAAGCCTTTTCAAATTCAAAAACAATGAATGTGAACATGTCCAAAAAAAATATTCTTGTGTTGAACTAATTTGCTGGGATTACATGGGCACTTTCAATTGTAGATATCGTTTTTGATTCTGGGAATACCTGTAAGGATATCAAATTTCCCGTGGTCAACACAAACCATGGAGCTATAAAAAGGAAGCACAAACACTCGTGTCCCATGAACTTCCTTAAAATCAACAGGTAACTTCACAGGAAATATTGAGAGATCGTTACTGTTGTTTGGTTTCTTTATTATTTTCACATGCTTTAAATCTTTCTAGTAATTATTTCAAAAGAAAACATAAGAGTTTTAATGATAACTTCTTCAACACAGTAATGTGATATTCCTATATAAGAAAGACACAGAATATTTAAACAATGGTATGGTGCCAGACTATTTATGCATTCTAGCCTCACTTTCACTTTCTTTTTAAATGTGGCTTAAAACATTAGGGTATGTTTAACCGTTTAATTACAAATTTCAATTAATTCATCAGAGCAGACTGGTGTTCATTTGTAAAATTTTAACTTTTTATGTCATTGATTTCATTTCTCTTCGCAAGTTTGAAAAATGAAGATTTTGCCTTGCTTTCAATTTAATATGGCCGACGCGTGAATAAAGCCCATAGAGCAAGCTTTCACTTGCATGTATTTTGACATGGCTATTCATTCACAACATCACAACCAAATGGAACCAACGAAACAGATACCTTTGGCAACTAAACACCACACTGTATGCTGTAGTAAATTCCTATTCATGATAATCACTGAACCGCGTATGCCTTTACAATAAATAAACTGTGAGTTAAACCATTCAGCCAGCAATGCTGCACCTTTCAATACATTGAAACTTGAAAGGTTTTTCACAATAATAAAGTAAAAACATTTCATTAAAAAAAACCTTTACATTAAGTTAATTGTTGCAACATAAATGTTCATTGTTGGAGTTTCATTGAAAATCACAATAAACAACTCCGTAAAATAACTGAAAAATGCAAAAACAATTGCAACCAAGCGGGATTTCTATGAAACCCTGCACCGCATACAAGACTTTGTGGGCGTCGAGGGATGTTTGCCTTTTTTATGCAAATTTGCACAGCGTGCGCGAAGGCTTGTGTGTCATCGCACCGACCGATAAGCACAATGGTTGTGAAACTTGCTAGAAAAAGTTTTTAAATGCCTACCCCAAATAAAAAGGACAACAAATCAAAAAAGTTATTGCAGATAAATTAAATAAATAAAATAGAAATTTCCGATTGTGGGAAAATTTCGGGGACTGAAACTCACCTCTCCGTGGTGAACTGTTCGGCCCTCCGGGGTGTCTTCGGGAAGAAAATATAATTTGGAGCTGGACAACATGAGGCCGTCCCCGTTCTCGGCCTTGTCATCTTGCCAAAGTAATTGCAGCTCGGCTATGCAAAGTGGGTCTGTCTCGGAAGTTTTCAAGAAGAAAAATTCCCCCATTGACAGGATTCGCCACTTGCCGTTCTTGAAGAATTTGCAGCCTTTGTAGAATGTGTTGGGCCCGTGCTGACCGGCCGGGGCACCCAGCCACTGGAAAGAAGCCATGAAATTACGAGATTATTTTTAATTTGCTGGCGAAATATTTCGCCAGCCAAGCAGCGCGTAATTACATTCTTTATAGCTTTTCACTGTACACACAATGCACACAACACGCACACGACTCGGACACGTACGTATGCATGTGTGCATTGAAATACCACTATAGCAAAGGTCAAGCTGCGCATCATTTCCAACTTCGTTCGGATCAGACTGGCAATAAAAATCACCCAAAAAAGTACGCAAACAACCTTAACAATTCACAGAATTACCACTAAATTATTGCTAGTGAAACCATCTATCCGACATAATAATATAACGTGAAAATTACGTACCTGCGGCCGACATTTGTCCATTTTTGAACGCCACCGTATTTTTCGTTGGCGTAGTTTGACTGTCTTCTTGTTGTAAACTACTTGTTGTTGGCCGTGTGACGTCATGATCCAAGAACAGTCATTTGCATAATTTATTACCAATTTGGCTTTCGGCGGGTTTTAGTGCCTCGCATGAATTTGCATATAGTTAGATTTGTCAAGTTTTAATAGGCATCCAAGACAACTGTATTTATCTTCTATTCATAAGAAATATTGTCAAAAGAGAATTAAAAATCTCACTTGACATAATTTTGGACACAAAAATGTCAAATGTAGTTATTACCAGTTGCGGCCGGAAAATAACTCTCAATTCACATTGATAAACTCTATGGAAGTTGAAAGTAAAAAAATAAAACAAGCTAAATACAGGCAAAAGAATAACAATAATCACATGATTTCTTTGGATAAAAAATTAAATTCATTGATAAATGTATTTTTTCGTTATGAATAAATTATTATTTTTTCATTTTAATTAAAGAATGTACTTTTTATAGTTTCCATTGTATTAACAGGCCTTGTTAGTTGTGGTTCTGTGCATGTGACGTTTGAAAAAAATTACTTTTTTTAGCAGTAAAATTAGAAAAAAAATGATATAATTTAGAATTAAAATTTTTTTTTTGTTGGTAATTAATAGTCATATGAAACGTGAATTTCAAGTTTTTATGTTATTTGCATGTTGCTAGTTTGGTTGTGATCTTTTGTAATGGCGAGCAATATTCTAAAAACGAATGCATTTGTTTGCAAACAGCCAGAACAAGTTAAAACATAACTTTTTGCCAAGTATGCCAAAGATTAAACTTCAACCTTCAATTTTATAAACTTATCTACGTCCGTCCTGCAGTGACTTACCTGACTTGCGCGAAGTTTCAGCAATACGCATACGAGAGGCTAGGCCAGACTGAAAACGCAAGTGGACAGCAGAAGACTGGTAGCAAGTTAATGACTGAATTGTAAACAAAAAAAACAGAAGAAACACATGACATCGATATGGTACGTGTGGTTCAACTGAAGTGCTAAACTTTGAGATTGCTGTTCCTTGAAATTCGATACAGAACACGCCATTGTACTTGTTTTAAGCTTTAAACAATTCATAGTTGGAACTTAAGGTAAGGTTGAATACAGTGATGTGTAGGCCCCTAACCGATTTCACAGATTTCATGGAAGACGTGTGATTTTTATATGATCGACATCCAACATCGCTGTCATTAAATTAAGCTTTGCCTTTACCAGTAACGATATTTCACTCATTATTTGACCTGCATTTCTGTAATTAGAAACGTTTCTTACATTGTTATCGGTGTACATGTACATCATTTATTATCATGCGGGTTGCAGTTTTGAGTGCATTAGATCTCTAGTAGCCCCATAAATGTGGCCAATACTGGACTACCCACGTAAATAAAGCCTTAAAGGCCACACTTGGAACATAACATGTACCCAAAAATGTAGAACTTTGTCAAATTTTGATTTTCACATTTAGGCTTTGTTTATCGTTTAGGTAATCCTTACTTTTAGGACACCTCCATTTTGTACGAGTTCTGTTCAAAACTGACTTTTGCAGATGACTGTCCAATACCAAAGTGACTTTTGCAGGCGGGTGTGGGTATTTTGCGGAACTTGCAGAACGTGCAGAACTCTGCGGAACTCTGCAAAATTGTTAATAAAACACTAAATTAAGATGAAATACTGGCTTTAAAAGTACAACAAGCGACAAATCTCATTATTAAGTCCCAAAATCGTCACATTCTACCCTTAAATAAATTGAAAATAAAAGATTTCCCACCTGTTTGTGCCGTCGTATAATAATTGTGTGTAGTATTTGCAGAACAGTGCAGAACACATGCTGTACAGGGATACATGCCGTTTACAAACCAAGGGTGCAGCTTTGACCCAGTGCTCTGTGAAGCACGTGTTTTAAACAGTTGATAGGGGGATAATGTACCGCTGCAGAACGAATTCTGCCGAAGTAACATTATGGAATAATCGTAATGTTTTATTTGCAATGTCAACAATTGTCTTATATCCTCCACATGTTTATGGGAAGGCCTTCTGTATCAATAGTTCCATGTTTTACCCAGGCAACGCAATCAATGGGTATGGGCCTCAGAGAGTTTCGCGTTTTACACAGGCAGAATCAAAATTAAAAATCATCACAATGTTTTAATTTTAATCTGGATAAGTGTATTATATTCTCAACAACTCCTCTGACTTTTTTCTTTCCGAAATTCACCCGGGAAGACCTTTTAAAATGAGAGTTCCGCGTTTTACCCACCTAGGTTTTTTGTGCAAATAGGCCTGTTGCACGGTATGTGCAGTATACGCGTACTGGCTCCGATGCTGTGGGAGGGGGCATATTTATCGCTGCAGAACCAACATTAAAAATCGTCACAATCTTTTAATTTTAATCTGGATAAGTGTATTATATTCTCAACAACTCCTGTGATTTTTTTTCTTTCGGAAATTCACCCGGGAAGACCGTTTAAAATGAGAGTTCCGCGTTTTACCCACCTAGGTTTTTTGTGCAAATAGGCCTATGCACGGTATGTGCAGTATACGCGTACTGGCTCCGATGCCGTAGGAGGGGGCATCTTTAGCGCTGCAGAACCAACATTAAAAATCGTCACAATGTTTTAATTTTAATCTGGATAAATGTATTATATTCTCAACAACTCCTGTGATTTTTTTCTTTCGCAAAATCACCCGGGAAGACCTTTTAAAATGAGAGTTCCGCGTTTTACCCACCTAGGATTTTTGTGCAAATAGGCCCAATTGCACGGTATATGCAGTATACGCGATACTGGCTCCGATGCCGTAGGAGGGGGCATATTTAGCGCTGCAGAAGCAACATTAAAAATCGTCACAATGTTTTAATTTTCATCTGGATGAATGTATTATATTCTCAACAACTCCTGTGATTTTTTTCTTTCCGAAATTCACCCGGGAAGACCTTTTAAAATGAGAGTTCCGCGTTTTACCCACCTAGGTTTTTTTGTGCAAATAGGCCTATGCACGGTATGTGCAGCATAAGCGTACTGGCTCCGATGCCGTAGGAGGGGGCATCTTTATCGCTGCAGAACCAACATTAAAAATCGTCACAATGTTTTAATTTTAATCTGTATAAGTGTATTATATTCTCAACAACTCCTGTGATTTTTTTTCTTCCCGAAATTCACCCGGGAAGACCTTTTAAAATGAGAGTTCCGCGTTTTACCCACCTAGGTTTTTTTGTGCAAATAGGCCTATGCACGGTATGTGCAGTATACGCGTACTGGCTCCGATGCCGTAGGAGGGGGCATCTTTATCGCTGCAGAACCAACATTAAAAATCGTCACAATGTTTTAATTTTAATCTGGATAAATGTATTATATTCTCAACAACTCCTGTGATTTTTCTCTTTCGGAAATTCACCCGGGAAGACATTTTAAAATGAGAGTTCCGCGTTTTACCCACCTAGGTTTTTTTGTCCAAATAGGCCTATGCACGGTATGTGCAGTATACGCGTACCGGCTCCGATGCCGTAGGAGGGGGCATCTTTATCGCTGCAGAACCAACATTAAAAATCGTCACAATGTTTTGATTTTAATCTGGATAAATGTATTATATTCTCAACAACTCCTGTGATTTTTATCTTTCGGAAATTCACCCGGGAAGACATTTTAAAATGAGAGTTCCGCGTTTTACCCACCTAGGTTTTTTGTCCAAATAGGCCTATTGCACGGTATGTGCAGTATACGCGTACTGGCTCCGATGCCGTAGGAGGGGGCATCTTTATCGCTGCAGAACCAACATTAAAAATCGTCACAATGTTTTGATTTTAATCTGGATAAGTGCATTATATTCTCAACAACTCCTGTGATTTTTCTCTTTCGGAAATTCACCCGGGAAGACATTTTAAAATGAGAGTTCCGCGTTTTACCCACCTAGGTTTTTTTGTGCAAATAGGCCTATGCACGGTATGTGCAGTATACGCGTACTGGCTCCGATGCCGTAGGAGGGGGCATCTTTATCGCTGCAGAACCAACATTAAAAATCGTCACAATGTTTTAATTTTAATCTGGATAAATGTATTATATTCTCAACAACTCCTCTGATTTTTCTCTTTCGGAAATTCACCCGGGAAGACATTTTAAAATGAGAGTTCCGCGTTTTACCCACGTAGGATTTTTGTGCAAATAGGCCCAATTGCACGGTATATGCAGTATACGCGTACGTGCTCCGATGCTGTAGGAGGGGGCATATTTATTGCTGCAGAACCAACATTAAAAATTGTCACAATCTTTTAATTTTAATCTGGATAAATGTATTATATTCTCAACAACTCCTCTGATTTTTTTCTTTCAGAAATTCACCCGGGAAGACCTTTTAAAATGAGAGTTCCGCGTTTTACCCACCTAGGTTTTTTTGTCCAAGTAGGCCTATGCACGTTATGTGCAGTGTACACGTACTGGCTCCGATGCTGTGGGAGGGGGCATATTTATCGCTGCAGAACCAACATTAAAAATCGTCACAATCTTTTAATTTTAATCTGGATAAATGTATTATATTCTCAACAACTCCTGTGATTTTTTTCTTTCCGAAATTCACCCGGGAAGACCTTTTAAAATGAGAGTTCCGCGTTTTACCCACCTAGGTTTTTTTGTGCAAATAGGCCTATGCACGGTATGTGCAGTATACGCGTACTGGCTCCGATGCCGTAGGAGGGGGCATCTTTAGCGCTGCAGAACCAACATTAAAAATCGTCACAATCTTTTAATTTTAATCTGGATGAATGTATTATATTCTCAACAACTCCTGTGATTTTTTTCTTTCGGAAATTCACCCGGGAAGATCTTTTAAAATGAGAGTTCCGCGTTTTACCCACCTAGGTTTTTTTTGTCCAAGTAGGCCTATGCACGTTATGTGCAGTGTACACGTACTGGCTCCGATGCTGTGGGAGGGGGCATCTTTAGCGCTGCAGAACCAACATTAAAAATCGTCACAATCTTTTAATTTTAATCTGGATGAATGTATTATATTCTCAACAACTCCTGTGATTTTTTTCTTTCCGAAATTCACCCGGGAAGACCTT